ATAAATCTAATAACAGATTACCAAAATTATTAACAACAGTGTCGTGAGAATTACGATCATCAATAGGATAGTTGTCATCATCAGCGCCCGCTTGGAATATATGATTCCTATTATCATCATCAAGACTAGGAGACACATTGTTCTGTTTACCTGTACGGGCATTCAGATCACCACAGATAACAGTGTGACATTCAGCAAAGTCATGGAGATTCGCTAGCAGATATTGCTCCAGTTGTTCAATATTACATTTGTGATTCATATGCTTATAGTACGTTGAACCAATAGGAGGAATATAAGTACACATCAAATTCATATCTTTGTCAAGTGAAAACAATTCCTTTAAGAATTTGATACAAATGAAATTATCAATATCAGATGTTAATTGTCTATAATTGTTCCTAAGCGAATGGTGGATGCAAACGCAAACACCACCTGAGAGTCTACCGTGATCTGACAATTTGATAGCAGGGCTATAGAACACGTCATAGCCATCCAACCAACTGTAAGAGATATCGGTTACAAAAGTCTCAATCAAACATATGATGTGAAATTTACAAACATAATCGATAAAACTGATATCATCAATCTTTTCAGTCAACCCATTTATGTTCCAGCACAAAAAAGGCTGTTTTCTCACTGTCAGTTTCAATCCGAGAAAGCGAATGACGATTATCACCGGTGTCAGTGCTAAGAGGACCCTGTGATATAAAGTCCGGGCCTTGGCCGCCGTCCTATTCAGATACAGTACTTGCATTTTGTTGACGGTCGTCACGATCAGTACGTGGCTGACGACTACTTTGTGTAATCCTCATATGGGGACGAGACTGAGTGTGCGCACGTTCACTCGGTACCACTACAAGTTCACCGTTCTTGAAGTAACCAAACTGGCCAGTTTCTTTCAGATCGTGAAGTTGTTGACGTTGGCGTGTGGTCAGATCACTGGATATACCATATCCATTTTCCTTCAGCACAGGCCTTGCTTTCAGTGCTCTAACTTTGTCATCTGACACTTGTACCTTGACAATTATCGGGCGTGGCTGAGTTGAATCGGCACGCTTACGCCCAAGGCGATGGGCTCTAATAACGTCAATTGGTTGCCACGTTTTGAACGTTAGGTACTTTGTGAATAGGTTGAGAATAGTTTCCTTGCATGCCATCGATTTCTCCCCTTCGGCTTCTGGTACACCATGTATGGTGTAACAGTGAACAATTCAACTAAAACTGAAAGATTAAGTACTAAGTAATTAATTACAGCTATCTGAATTTGCCATTTTCTGTCTTGGTCCTTATATTACTTTTTTCTATATTTTCAACTATTCCATATTAATTGATGCCCCCTTTTGGAGACCTGTAGAACCACAAAAATTAACCAAAAAGAAAAGCTACTGATGTTTCAAATTTGTTTTACAAGTGGCATTTTGTGTGTTTTTATTGTACTCTAGTTGTGAACTTTATACAATATTGAATTCAGTTTTATGATGAGTGTGTGTGAAAACAGCGGGTTGTTTTGATATACATATGTTATTCTAACAACCTCAGGTCTCGGAAATTGAATAAATCAACTGTGTAATCATTTGGGTAGTAGTCTTCAATGTTTTTTTCTGAAACATACTGAATTATATCTGCTCACTACACGCAGTTAATGTTTCCTGTGCTGCAATTCGATTTGATTAAGGCAGTTACAATTGTGACTTACTTGACTTAATCCCCTTTACTCCTCGAGGAGCATATGGCCTCAACAGTTGTCCTCCACTGCCTGTCAGTGGCTATGCTCTTGGTAGCCTCCCAGGTTAAGCCGGATTCTCTTATTTCCTTTTCCAGGCTTCGTCTCCAGGTCTGTTTTGGACGTCCTCTTTTCCTCTTGCCTTGTGGGTTCCAGTCAAGCGCTTGTCTGGTGATATTTGTTTTGTGCTTTCTTAGCGTATGTCCAATTGTCGCTTGATCTGATCAGAGACTGGGTCTTGGTTTGCTGCTTCCCACAAGTCAAGGTTGAGGACTTTATCGAACCAGATGATGCAGAGAATCTGTCGGAGACATTTTGTTGATGTATTTTGATGGAACTGATCTTGGTTACTCTCCACGTTTCCGACCAATAAAGCACGACGGAACGAACATAAAAGCTGATGATTAGCAGCTTGGTTTTCAGGGATAGGACAGCGATTTTCCAGAACGGTCTTAATGTGGTGAAAGCATATTGGGCTTTTCTGATCCTAGCCTGATGTCCTCGTCAGTGCCACCAGTTGTGCTGACTTTGCTGCCCAGATAGGTGAATTCGGTGACGTCTTCAATCACTTGTCCGTTGACCTGTAATGGATCTTGCTGTTTGTTTTGGGTCCTCAGAACTTTCGTCTTATCTCTGTTTTTGTTGAGATCCCAGTGCATCCAGCTTGTCTTGATGTCCTGGAGTCTGTGTGCAAGGAGCGCTAGGTCGTCTGCAAAGTCTAAGTCCTCAAGTCTACTGGTGAGAGTCCACTGTATGCCTTTCCAGTGTCAGCATAGGCTTCCCTTGTGACCCAGTCAAGCACCACCAAGAATAGTAGAGGTGATAGCAAGCGACATTGTCTAACTCCTGTTGTTACTTGGAATTCTTCAGACAATTTTCCATCATGAACAACTTTGCATGAAAAATTGTACAATATCCCAAATCACACCATGTATTTTGATTGCGAACCATCTATAATGACGTGAATGTATCCTATCATACGTGGTGTTGATGTGATTGATGTTTGTATTTTATCTGTTCCTTAATACATATATCAACAAGTACGTATTTCGTATGAAAAAGGGGCGGTGGGGTAGCCTAGGGGTTAAAGCGTTGGCTCGTCTCGCCGAAGACCCGGGCTCGAATCCCCACATGGGTACAATGTGTGAAGCCCATTTCAGGTGTTCCCCGCCGTGATGTTGCTGAAATATTGCTAAAAGCGGCGTTAAACTAAACTCAGTCAGTCAGTCGTATGAAAAGACCTTCCCCATGATGTGGAGCAATATTCACCAATCCAGACTGGTGTCCACATTTCACAATGTCCAGCAGGCACGTTCCAGTGAACAAAATGATTTGTTTGTTGGATGTGTTTGAGACAGAACTTTTAGGAAACAGCTGGCGTAATGACTAATATGATAGAAAATATCTCAATGTCATTTGTAGGCAAATAAACACTGAATCAGGAAAGTGTTCTTTAATTTTTATTCAAACATTGTATCAATATTACATTTTGTTCACTTTATATTGCACACACATGACTTCATAATGATATATCGATTCGGTCAATAACTTAAATGAAAACATAGAAAGTGTTTATTGCCGACAGAAGATGAATGAAGACATAAATAGGTTTGGACAAAATTGAATTGACATATGTCATTCTTGCCACCATGACCATGTGGTATTACACAAAAGATGTATATTACGACTGAGGCAGTTAGTAGTAGTAGTAGTACTAGCAGCAGCAGCAGCAGCAGCAGTAGCAGTAGTAGTAGTAGTAGTAGTAGTAGTAGTAGTAGTAGTAGTAGTAGTAGTAATGGGTTTGATATCACTCAATAAATGTATGCAATGAGACAGGTAGTAGTTGTAGCAGTACGTTTGATATCACACAATAGGTGAATACCATGACGCAGGTAGTAGAAGCAGTACTTTTGATATCACACAATAGTTGAATACCATGACGCAGGTAGTAGAATCAGTACGTTTGATATCACACAATAGGTGAATACCATGGCGCAGGTAGTAGAAGCAGTACGTTTGATATCACACAATAGTTGAATACCATGACGCAAGTAGAAGCAGTACGTTTGATATCACACAATAGGTGAATACCATGACGCAGGTAGTAGAAGCAGTACGTTTGATATCACACAATAGGTGAATACCATGACGCAGGTAGTAGAATCAGTACGTTTGATATCACACAATAGGTGAATACCATGGCGCAGGTAGTAGAAGCAGTACGTTTGATATCACACAATAGGTGAATACCATGACGCAGGTTGTAGAAGCAGTACGTTTGATATCACACAATAGGTGTAGACCATGGCGCAGGTAGTAGAAGCAGTACGTTTGATATCACACAATAGGTGTAGACCATGACGCAGGTAGTAGAAGCAGTACGTTTGATATCACACAATAGGTGTATACCATGACGCAGGTAGTAGAAGCAGTACGTTTGATATCACACAATAGGTGTAGACCATGGCGCAGGTAGTAGAAGCAGTACGTTTGATATCACACAATAGGTGTAGACCATGACGCAGGTAGTAGTAGCAGTACGTTTGATATCACACAATAGGTGTAGACCATGACGCAGGTAGTAGAAGCAGTACGTTTGATATCACACAATAGGTGTAGACCATGGCACAGGTAGTAGAAGCAGTACGTTTGATATCACAAAATAGGTGTATACCATGGCGCAGGTAGTAGAAGCAGTACGTTTGATATCACACAATAGGTGAATACCATGGCGCAGGTAGTAGAAGCAGTACGTTTGATATCACACAATAGGTGTAGACCATGACGCAGGTAGTAGAAGCAGTACGTTTGATATCACACAATAGGTGTAGACCATGACGCAGGTAGTAGAAGCAGTACGTTTGATATCACACAATAGGTGTAGACCATGACGCAGGTAGTAGTAGCAGTACGTTTGATATCACACAATAGGTGTAGACCATGGCACAGGTAGTAGAAGCAGTACGTTTGATATCACAAAATAGGTGTAGACCATGACGCAGGTAGTAGTAGCAGTACGTTTGATATCACACAATAGGTGTAGACCATGGCACAGGTAGTAGAAGCAGTACGTTTGATATCACACAATAGGTGTAGACCATGACGCAGGTAGTAGAAGCAGTACGTTTGATATCACACAATAGGTGAATACCATGACGCAGGTACATGTAGTAGAATCAGTACGTTTGTCGTTATTATGCACACTTCACGCTCACCTTATACTTCAATTGGAACGGGTGTCCATGTCACAATGATATTTGTTGTGAACATTTAACTGTTAATCTTTGACGACTTTAGTTTCATCAACATCCAGTCTGTGGTGGGTTTCTCGGATCATTAATAACATGGGTATTGAAACTACAATGGCTCCAACCAATGCCCAGTTCATCCACACCGTCCCTGTAACATAATGTAGAAGCATCACCTTAACGTACACGGTGAAGACACTGTGATCATGTCGGGGATGACAAAGTGCCGATATCAAATTGCCCTGAGAAATGTTTAAAACACTAGACATCTAATTAATATTTAATCTTCCTCAACATGAAAACAGGTATCCCACGACAGATAGTTTATGGGGTTGTCTGTATTCTTAAAACTCTGACCACAGTTGACCCGAGAAATATCCCCTCATCTTCAAGATGCTGTTCACATAGACACAAACTATTAAAATAACTAATTCTGTTCATTTGACACATATGATATTCAAATATCTCTATCAGAAAAAGAACACAAGAGAATGTGGCCAAAATTGTATCCACTTACCAATATTTGGAATCATAAGCACCAACAAAAAGACCAGAGCTCCAGCGTTGTTCATGAGTGTCATGGCACCATTGGTAGTGCCCTCTCCGATAGGATAGGTGAGTTCGCAGCCCATCTCAAAGATGATTGGAATAGAAGTCTGGAGAGCTGTCTGCGCTGATATCACGCTCACGTATAATGTCGCTACAAACACAGTAGTCACACTGCAATACGGTCCGATATACCCCGTGTCCAGCAATCAGATATATAAAAATATATACGACAAACACTTCCCACATCTATAAGAGTCGATTGAACCATTCAGACTATATCATGAGCAAATGTTTATGAATCACTATCAAATAGTGATGATACCAGCTGTATGTCTTTACGTCTGTGGATCGGTGGGATAGCCTAGTGGTTAAAACGTTCGCTCGTGACGCCGAAGGCCCGGGTTCGATTCCCCACATGGGAACAATGTGTGAAGCCAATTTCTGGCGTCCCCCGTCGTGATGTTGCTGGAATATTGCTAAAATCATCTCACTCACTCACTTTACGTTTTTGTGATAATCCGACGACAACTTGGCAGGCGTACTATTAAGGACAGATGTAAGTTCCTGAGAATGAACTTTACGAGTTATTGTGGTAAAACTGAATGGTTTTAAGACAGTGACATCTGACTGGCTCAAGAACCCATGTTTCCTTCGTGTATATTGATTGGACAAAGACGGCTCAGGGTTCAAATGATCCCACTTCCTATAGAAGTGTCCTTAGAATGTGAATGCAAATAAAAATATAATTATTATTATCGAGACAGTTATCACCATGCCTTATACTAGCTGCAACCATGGAGGACCAGCTGACAAACCAAGAATCATACTAAACCTGGATTAAAGTAGGCAGCATGTGTTACGTAAGAGGAGATAATTACGTAAGGTGGCCGGCAGCAGTCCAGTGCATATGACGGCAAACCAGGCGAAGAATGATGCCGCGATGAAGTACACGCCACTGATGAACCACTTCATGTAGCGGGAGAACACATCAACCAGCCTACAACAGACACAGTGAGTGCGTGATGAACCATTTCATGTAGCGTTGGGCATAAGTTGTGAAAGCCGGCAACACGCTATTAAAGCATTCGTTGGTATAAGTTATCGAAACGTTCTTTATTATACCCCCTCTACAAAGTAACGGGGGTATATAGCGTTCATTCTGTCCGTCCGTCCGTCCCGAAACTTTGTCCGGAGCATATCTCTTAAAGTTTACATACTAGGTTCACCAAACTTCACACACATGTTAATCATTACCCATTGATATGCCTTTTGCTATTTTGTTCGATTATTTTGTCCAGAGCATATCTCTTAAAGTTTACAAGTTTCATTCATGTGCCTTTTGCTATTTTAAATTTCAGAATTTAGTTTTTGGCTGTTTCCATGGAAACACGACTTAGGCTGTGACTGCAGATCTTCCAAACTATACATGCTAGCTTCATCAAACTTGGTACACATATCAAGCATCCCTAGATGTGCCTTTTGGGGGTAGATCCAGATATGAATTGTATTTTTGCTGTTTCCATGGAAACACGACTTAGGCTGTGACTATGAGGATGTCATCTTGTCGGAGCAGATCTTCCAAACTATACATGCTAGCTTCATCAAACTTGGTACACATATCAAGCATGATCCCTAGATGTGCCTTTTGGGGGGTAGATCCAGATATGAATTGTATTTTTTGCTGTTTCCATGGAAACACGACTTAGGCTGTGACTATGAGGATGTCATCTTGTCCGGAGCAGATCTTCCAAACTATACATGCTAGCTTCATCAAACTTGGTACACATATCAAGCATGATCCCTAGATGTGCCTTTTGGGGGGTAGATCCAGATATGAATTGTATTTTTTGCTGTTTCCATGGAAACATAACTTAGTGCCAAATGTGTTCGATTATTTTGTCCGGAGTATATCTCTTAAAGTTTACATGCTACGTTCACCAAACTTCACACACATGTTAATCATTACCCATTGATATGCCTTTTGCTATTTCAAAGGTTTTTCAGAATTTAGTTTTTGGCTGTTTCCATGGAAACATAACTTAGTGCCAAATGTGTTTGATGGTTTTGTCCGGAGCATATCTCTTAAAGTTTACATGCTAGGTTCATGCTAGGTACCTGCAAAATGTATTTGATGGTTACCTGACCACGGCATATCATCGAAACTATACATGCTAGGTTCACCAAACTTAATACACAAGTTAATCATGACCCACAGATATGCCATGTGCTAAAAAATAGCAATCTTCATCTACGTCCACTTCATTGTGTGCAACATGAGACAGTCAAGTTCAATTGTATGTCAGGTTTCCACGGAAAACAAATAAATCTAGTTTCCATAAATTATTACCGTAATCAGTACATGTCAAAACTATTATCTAACATGTATATAAAATTTAGTAGAGTCAAAGAGAAAGTCTTGTGAGCTGCTGATCCTTGTCACATTATACATATCAATATCAGTCATTTCCATGTCCCAAAGTGGGAAGCGGGGGTATGTGAGCTGTGCTCACTTCTACACTTGTAGGTTACTAGTACGTTATCACAATATCTATACGTCAAACTCGTTACGAATACGCTATGTATACGCCCAACACTTAAAAACATCGATTTTGATACGTCGACATGCTGTGTAGGGATGTCACGATACATCGATACTTTTTCTAAGAGGATACAATTATCGATACATTCAAAACTGTATCGATATTTAGTTTTGAAAATATCGGTTTATGTATAGTTTGCATTTTGCAACTTTATCTTGTTTCTTTTATGTTATGAGAGTTATAAATGATTATTTTTCATGCACAAAGATGGGAAATTAGAACTTGTTAATCTCTGAGAATCAAAAATGTTGATCATTTCATGGACAATCATAAAATATGAAATATTAATGTTCAAAATGTAACTAAATTTACGAAATAATGCCGCGAAAATAGGTATCATATGGGCCTTGTATACTATGGGCCTGTGGCCTTCAGTATGAATAAAGATTGATTGATTGATTAGGTATCATGATACGTGTCGATTCATGAAAGTTATGTATCGTGACATCCCGAATACTCTGGCTAAGTCGTCATGGTGTGACAGGGCCTAAACTCACTAGCTCACCTGGCTACTATCATCATGGCGGCACAGCTCACAAAGAAGGTGTAGAAGCCGATCCAGCCCGCCTGGTCCTGACTGATACCCGTGGGTTTCATGTTGACCTTCAGCACCCCTGACCACGCGGTGCTACCCCCTCCGGCCATGCCGAACACCAGGGCGAGCACCCAGAACTGATACCTCCTGGTGAAGGCAAAATAGGAACAGCATCATTATCATGCTTTGATGCAGATTTTGATTCCTGAGGAGGTGATTGTATTTTGTTAGTGCTTCGGTTTGACTTTTTTGTGTGTTTTCGGTGTTTTATTGGTTTGTTATATTTCTTGTGGATGTTTTATGACGTGCGTGTGTGTCTGTGTATCTGTTGTCTTTTCTTTTGGGTTCTACTTGGTGTGGTTTCAGCTTCTAAAATTTAAAACTGATTGAAATGTGTGTGTGTGTGTGAGAGAGAGTGGGTGTGTGTGTGAGTGAAAGATTCATTCAGCATATTACATTTATCGAAAATGGTCGTGACTTCACGGACATCCAATTAAGTACATCAATGATAACCAGTGTTGTTTGCAACATTGTATGGTTACCACTTAATGCATTTGTCTTGTTGTTGATGTTGTTGTTTTCATTGTCGTAGTTCATAGAGGTGTGAGTGGCGTTGGGATAGGGGCTAAGAGTTATGTGTGAATGTGTACCTTAGCAGATCTTTCAGTCCCTCTTTGAAGCTCTCTCTCTTGAACGACGCCGACACACAAGGGGGATTTGGGGGCTTGTTGGGGAAATACAGCAACATCAACAGAAACAAGCCCACTGACCAGGCACACTCTGAAACATTTGATGACATTTTGCACAAAATCCCGATTTGTTGATTTGTGTAAAAGTTCAGACAATGATACCGTGTGTCTTTCAGTCAGTGAGGTACTTTCGACTTTGTATGAAATGAAATTGTCTAGAATTGAATACTCTTTTGAAATTAAACAGATATTTACTTATATTTGCTTTCATTTTATTTTCAGGTTTGGTCAAACTAACTGTATACTTTCTTTTGAGCACTAGCTTATTTTGAGCAGCTGGCAAAGCACACTTTGAAATAACTTAATGTGCTTAAGATTAAACTAATTTCCTTACCTATATACATGAGGAACATTATGTCTTCTCTCAGTTTCGCTACACTCGGCACTGGAAACACAACCAGTCATACATGGTTAAAAAACATGGGTTATAAATAAATCCAACACTTAGACGGAAATTTCTTAACTGTTACACATTATTCATAACTGATAATTTACATATAACTCCTTCGTGATTTTTTAACATTCATTCTCTTGCGCTTAATACATATCATACAGCATTTAAGGCTTCAATACGGTTTAAGTATTGAATCTTTCAGAGTTAATGCTTTTCCATTAAAAGATGCCGTGGAGATAATTGTTTTCTTACCAGTGACATTGGTGCCGTTGATGCAGCCATCTCCGAGTTGAAATTCTTCAAACAATGTATCGGACGAACTTAAAAAAAATGTTACGTTTATTCGATTACTTCATGTGAAAATGTCAGAGACATACGTTTTGATTTTTGAAAAATTGGAGCAAGCACGTACACAAACTCGAGAATATTACGTCATATGGAGACAATTAACTAACATTTATTTAACGATTAAAACACCTTTCATACATAAATCGCGTATTCTTTAAATGAATAGTTGTTTCCTTTATTTTTTCATGCATGATGCAAAACTTACGTCTACAATAATAATTCTTCTACCTAAAAAAGGTTACATTTCATTCTACATGATCATATTACACATAACGTGATATTTGAAAATGCATACCTCATGGTTAAGTTATCAACTGTGCAGTTTTTCGTATGAACTTCGGGTACCAGTTGGGGACCTGGATGTAAAAGAATAAGAAACAACAAAAATAGTATCACTGCTCTAATTTTGGTTTGTTTATTGTTGCTTAACGCCGCACTCAGCTATTTTCTAGTTATTTGGCGGCGGTCTGGAAATAATCGAGCCTGGACCAGACAATCCAATGATCAAACAGCATGAGAATCGATCAACTCAGTTTGGATACGATGACTGACGACATGTGTCAACCAAATCAGCGAGCCTGACCACTCGACTCTGTCAGTCACCTCTTACGACAGGTATGGGTTGCTGAAGACCAATTCTAACCCGGATCTACAAGGATCCGAAGTCTATTTAAAACCAAATAATTAACTACCATGGGATGCCTCTGAAAAGCGGTCTGCGTCAAGCGAACTTTTCAATCAGCTCATCAGCGCTTCTCGGTTCGGGTGAACAAAGCAATCAGACATGCATATCTGAATCTGTGAGAAACATGTTTGTCAACAGACCATGACTTACCTACTATGAAAGAACAAGCTACCATGAGGAACTTGATGACTGTGGATAAGGCGGTGGCTGTGGTCCTCTCGTTGGGCGGAAACCACGCGGCCGACATGGAGGGGGGTCCGCCTGTCCCAACCGGCCCACCAAGACCGTTCAGAAACTGACCAATGTGCATTGTCCTGGAGAAAAAAACCCATAGTATATATAAAAAATTTTATAAATGCCATACCAAGTAGACGGTGTTCAATCTTTGTCCTCAAGTCATTGTCTCAACTTATATATTTCTATGTCTCTAAGAAGGTCGATTTGAAATCTTCTGCACATTCTTTTAAAAAGTGAATAATGAGCTTAATGAGAAAATAAGCTGGGTCTATCTTCATTTTGAGTGAGTTAGACTTTGATTCAAGGGCGCTTTGAACAGTGTTCCAGTTTAAACTGTTTAAGATTCGTGAGGGAGGCAAGCCTAAAGTGAGGCAGACCTTAGGTTTCCACATGCCCCTCAAGCAGACAGTGTGTGATAATCTGGCGATAACATGATCTGGGATATGTGAGTGTACGATAACCATACTGACCACGTGACCCATGGTGGGGTGGTGGTTATACATCGTATTCCGCATCCGGCTGCTATAAAGAACATGCTCAGAAGAGATGATATCCTCAAACCTTCAACAGACGGTGAGATAAGTTATGAAAACATTGTATGAAATAAAGAAAGGACGGTGCATGTATATAAACACAAATCTCTGTTTTGTCTGACAACACTTTGGGACAATATTTCAGTCATGACAGCTTGATGTGCAGTGGAGTGATTCCCGACAGGGAGCAAGTATGAGACCCCGTGTGGTGAAACCTAGAATCAAGATCATGGTGGAGCTGGATTCGAACCCACGATCATGGATAACTGGCACTCCGAAGGAACGCAATGCTGTATGGCTAATTGCACCGCCTATGAGTGAATGGATTTAGATTCAAAGTCTTTATCACCTTATTTGAATAAGACCATACATCTTGCCTCAGAAAAGGAAAGTGAAAAGAATATAGTTTGTGTCGTATGCTTCAGTAAGAGTTAGGGTTGCCATTTGGTGTACGTTGTATCGTGGCATGAGTGATTTTTGTTCTACGCCATTTTTAGCAATATTCCAGCAATATCACTGACACCAGAAATGGGCTTTACACATTGTACACATGTGGGGAATCCAACCGGGTTTCTTTGGTGTGACGAGCGAAAGATTTAACCACAAGGCAAACGTACGTCTCTACTAAGTTGAGGAAATGCATAGGATATATAAACAGAAGTATCACCGACATGAAATATAATGGTATAGTGAACGATCCAATATCTGAAAATAATTTAAGTTCTTTTCACCTTTCATATCCAGCATCCAGGCGAATATTGGCATCCCAATAAAGTAAGTTATAGGCCCCCAGTTGGCCATAAGGGAGATAACCCCGTCATTCCATCCAAACGCTACTTCACTGGAAGTTGATATGGGCGACCAGGTGTTCCATACAAAAGACTGAGTCCCCGACATCAGAGAAAATACAACTAACATATACCATCGCCTCTTATACAGTTTAACATTAACATCGTCTTTTGTAACGTTCCCAGCTTCCTGAGATGCCGAGGTGTGTATGTCTATAGACGATTCTGAAGTCTTCCTGTCCGGGTTAATGGTGGCAGAACCGCCGATTGATGAGTAAGAGTGGTCCTCCTGGTCTGCTAACAATGGAGTCTTTGTGTCGTCCATGATGAACCTGTGTCAATGGTAAGCAATTCGTCATACCTAAAATAATCAAACTTTACGCACACCAATTTTTTACTTGTAGTCGTATGTTCCGATCACTGGAAGTTGGATTTGTATTGACAGGATAATGTGGTTATTCACCGTTGTAACAGCAGTATCGATGTCTAAGTTTAGACTCTAACGCCGTTATCAAGCAAGTCCACGTGGATGACGTCACAAGATAGTGAGAATATTCACCATCTTCGTTACACGGCTTGCTTCATAACGGCATTACAGTCCTGCAAGTGTAAAAACATTACAATGTACAGCGAGCTTAAATCCTTCATAATCTTTAAAAAAATGACTCTTTTTTTAAAACTTAATATAATTTAGAAATGAATAGCTTTACGACGTATATACGTTGTAATTAGCATATATAGTATTAACAGAAATTATTGAGAAAGTTGTTTCGGCAAATATCTAATACGTGTATGTAAATTGTAGAAGCTTTACTTATATGAATATGTTGAGATATGATTCTCTTACAGTCTAAATGACTTTTCAGTACTTTTTGAGACCTCCTTGCCCTGCAATACACGACTGAATGTGCCTAGGTACACTACAGATCAAAGTTTGTAGGAAATCGTGTGACGGCGTATCCGAATATTCGACCACTTCTTTCTTCATATCCTCAATATTTCTAAGTCCTTTTGGGTTTATTCTGTCCTTCATTAGTCATTGATCTCAATAGGGTTCTTTCGTCAAATTTTCATTGACAATACACAACGGCGTCACTCCATGTGGTGATTCCGGGCTATGTTTTGAGCGCTGGTAGATAGGTTTCATGGTATCTTTTGTCCAAATTTTCACACAGTTCGGAAAAAGCCAGACAGAACTTTTATCAGAAAAGAAAACATTATCCCAATCTTGTTTTTCGTGAGCCCTACACCAGTTTAAACGTCTTTCTTTTTGTGCATCTTTCATCAATGGTGAGGGTATTCCGCGCTTTTTCACTCGGTTAATTCTGTGTAATTCTTTTCTAAGGTTTTCATTACATTCCTGAGGACTTCTATTACAATCATCTCATTTCTGATATTCTCAACGCTTTTTAATTTTACCCTACTCACAATCTGACCAAGTCGCCGACGATCCAACTTCATTGGCCTCCCTGTCCCTGTCTTGTGCTCAATCCAAACTCGTGACTGAATAATCAATATCCTTCAAAGTTCTGTATACTGTAGACAGATGAATGTCATGTCTACCTGCTAACTCTTTTGCATTAGTCACCAGGTGGTCACACCCCTTTCGAAATCATCTAGAAAGAGCTCTCTGCTGTCAAGTCTGCCATGTCAACAAAGGAAGCCGTCTGCTATACCAGGGAAGATAACTCTTGATGTAGTAAGGTTCATTCTTAAGCCTACAAGAGTTGCCTCCCATAATTTGTACCTTACTTCATACTGTAACACCTATTTTAAAATTCTAAATTTCTAGGAAAATTGTATGAATATGACACGGTATCTGATATAAGGAATTGTACATCTCATGTCATACGGTGTACATGTATTTATGAAGATTTATCTATTTACACCATGACAGGAACAGATTCACAGTTAATGTGTACAGACATAAGAATACATGATGAAAACGAGTGATATATATAAAATATTCTATATATAACTATAACAATCTGTCTAATATACGTGTCTTGTGGCATACAGCTTCTAAAATGCCACTCAAAGAAGTTACTGTTAGTCACACCTGTGTTTTGACTTACCCGTTTCTCCGACCCAGTAGGTTATATCAGCCAGTCCACTACAAACTGACAGGTCGCTCTGCTATCTACAGAACGAAGGGGTTGTGCTCATGAAGTCTCTTCGTGTAACTGTTGCCCTAGAAAAATGCGGTGACACTGGCCTGTTGGTCCTGTGACCTTCCCGTGTTGATATGCGGTATTATCACACACATATATTATATATTAATGTACATCAGTGAGAGGAGTGTCCACATGGTTTATCGAACTGGTGCAGTGAGCTCAGATTTCTAGGTGGCGGCCAAAATATGTCGTACAAATCTGAAATATATTTTGTGCGCATGCGTAACTTCCTCACTCACTAATGTAGATAAACATATTCACACTTCGAAAGTTTGGGGAGATAAAATAACATATTGCTCGGCTATTGTTAATGTGTCGAGAACCATTTTACTTGACATACAAGTTTTATGCACCCACTAAACATGATCATCTTGATTGTCAAAAAGACTGTTTGTGACCATAAAACAGAAACGATTGACAACCTTCCAAACTTTAATATGCAAAGTCCGTGATTATTATCATATTACTAATTGTGCAGTTCAAATGTCAAATAGAGTCGATATGTTTTACAAATTTTGGTCTTCTTGTCATTTTCTGTTCGTGTAAATGTATTGTGTGATTGATACTTATACTTACTTTGAAATAAAAGTTCAGATTTAAAAAAAAAAAAATTAAGAAAGGTTACTGCAGACTGTTGTTTGTTTGTGGCCGTGTCGTATTAGTGTCGTAATGTCGTCCTGTCGGGGTCTCAGAGGATTCGTCTAACACAATTACATATTGATTGTAATACACTTTGGTCAGAGTCAGCGCATATTGGTGTAGAGTCGTGGGATATTTATCCGATAATGTCGGCCAATCCTACTCAAGTGCCTGTCTCACAGTCTCTGAATCACATTTTCCCTACTGCCTAGCCCTCTCTGCAGTGCTAAAGCCCTAAATGGTCTCCTTTTCAATTTAAATGGGTTTGTTTGTTACTATCAACATTATATATATTCAGAGGCTAAGCGTTAGTCTATCAAGTGCCGGGCAATCCTCGTTATCTTAACTTCACAGCGCCTTGCTGTGAGCGATGACTTTAACATTGCAAGGAGTTTACAATTGAAACACGGAAGTGACATTGGACTTTGATCAGCATGGCTAGTCGTCTGCTAAAGCCGATTTATATGCAAATTGGAGCAAAGCGAGAATGCTTTGTGCGACATTTTTCAGTATCAAGAGTATGTCAACAACAAAGTGAACCACAGAAAGCATTGTTTGGGCCTGAACACCAACAACTGAGAGAAAACCTGAGAAAGGTAGTTGCGCTCTCTTGACACCTCGGGTTCTATCAGGAAACCCACGTTTCTTGGTCTTTTGTGACTTGTCAGCCTTTATTAACTCCACCACAGTGCATAACTGATTCTAAAATATTGACAGACATAAATTACCTCCCGTTAAAATGGTGAAGACCCGGGGTATAAGAAGTTGCACTACATTGATTGAGAACTGGATTTCTGATTTCAGATAATTGACAAAGACATCAATCCCTATGTCGATGAATGGGAAGAAGCTAGAATGTTCCCGGCCAAGGATGTGTTCAAGACGCTTGGAAATGCTGGGTACTTGGGTGTAACAAAACCAACAGGTATGCACATGGACAGGTACCTTGCCTTCACAGATAAGGCAGTTTTTTCCTTTTCCAAGATTTGATAAATCTTCCCAATAATTAACATCATTAACATGCTCAAGCAAGAGTTAAGTAATTCTTTCATTTTGATCAAGTTCATGGACATGTAGTATGACTGACGTAATTTTATATTTTCCATCGCAAAAGACATTATTCCAATGTGTGTTTATTGTTTTTTAACATTTAACCCCTTGTGATTTATTAGTGTCTAAATGTTCATATCTAATTAATATTGATACTTTATTTTGTTCAACATAGTCACATTATTCATCTTGAGAGTCATTTAGTTTCTTTGTGTGTTGTTTAACGCTGCACTGAGCAATATTCCTACTATATGATGGCAGTCTGTAAATAATCAAGTCTGGGCCAAACAATATCTTAGTCATAGTTAAGCATGGATTGCTGAAAACCAATTCTAACCAGGTCTTCACATGTTGAGAGTCTTTTAGAAGGTGTTGGAGTAGAAAGTAAGGATAAGACATATTGATGAACATCATACATAGTCACATAATAGTCAGCAGAAAACATTAATGGAAAGTAGAGTATGGGGACTTGTTTCTCCACTGTAGGGTATGGAGTCTTGCCCAAGACTACTGGCTGTGGGATAATGTTCATGCTGTTGTTTCTGTTTCTGCAGAATATGGTGGACTTGGCCTGGACTACTCGTATAGCATGGCTGTGGCTGAGGAGCTTGGACACATCAACTGTGGAGGTGTTCCCATGGCGATAGGGGTACAGACTGACATGGCCACTCCCGCTCTAGCTAGGTATGTAAGGTCACTTCACACTAGGGCTGAAACGCTCTTACCACGATACGGTATGTATTGCGGTACAAGTCCTTTGGTTCAGTCCATTTCAGTTTGGTATATGAGAACTTCTGGTGACCGTCTGGCAAAGAAATGCATACATTTTGACAAAATGATTCGATTTCTAGACATTTTAGAAAAGGTTTATCTACTAATACCGCAGTGTAGCGTTTCACCCTACTTCATACTACAGTCCGTTTGAGTGAAAATCTCCCCAATGAATTGCACTCTTAACTAAAAAACAAACAATCTTAAATGACTCAAACCAATGTCAAAGTAAATAGGAAAAACACACCAACACTGCAGAATTTTGTCATAAATTTTGTCTGCAAAATAAAAAACTTGTTTAACAAACCATCATTGTTTTCATTAGCTATATCACAATTTGAGACAAGGGTGTAGCAACAGCCTTGGTAACAGCCAGGTAAGCGAGAGGCACGTGCAATGTTGATTTCTTCGGTAGGGAATGGTATGGTACTTTTTTCAGGCAGCAAACGAAAATATAGCAGGCGGGTTTTTTTCTATACTACCCATCAAAAGTTTAGACTCACCAGTGTAAATGTAGCCTCTTACTTCAGTCAACTGTTCTAAACTAGATTTTGCAAAATATTCCATACTGTTTAAAGGTACTGTTTACATATGAACTGATGTATTGTAAAACAAATTTGTAACTTTGAAAAGATGATTGTCAATGTCATGAGTTTAATAAATGATGAAACTCAGAAAACTGACAAATTCTGCACAAAACTGTACACCAAAACGCAGCTGTTCACATGCATGATATTTGCATTTTCAGCAGTTTGATGTATGATCCTCAAGCAATTCATCTGGATAAGGTTTGCAGTTGGTTCTCCCAAGTTAGTAGAGAAATTCATCTTTGATGTAACCATATATATATACATAACATAGTGAGTGCTAAAGTTTTGATGGGTAGTATATTGATCATCACACCACCAGGAAAGATCACAAACCTTACACATTTTATCAAATTACTTATTTAATTGGTAAGTAAGTGCTTGTTGTATAAGTGTGGCTTGTTAACAGTGTGTGGTATTATCGGGATATCAGTTTACTGAGGTTCATTCTAATCATTCATGTATCACAATAATATTTTTTAATGTTCGGTATATCAGGTGATATTTATTATGTGTTTAAGTGTCATACACTTACCATCACTTTCAAAATGTTTCGACCGCATCCATGGTGTAGTGGTTAGAGCGTCCGCCCTGAGAGCGGAAGGTCGCGAGTTCGATCCCCAGCCGCGTCATACCAAAAGACGTTAAAATATGGTACTTGTTGGTCCCTGCCTGGCGTTCGGCATAATGGGTACAACAAGGACTGGTCGGCTCGGAGTCAGTATAATGTGTCTGAGTGGGGTATTCATGCTTCACTGCGGCATGGTATCTCAGTGGGCCAGCACTATAAAACCAGTAGTACAAGCAGCCGCACATACACATACACACGCATGCACGTCGTCATATGAGCGAAATATTCTCAAGCACGACGTTAAACCCAATTTCACTTCACTTCACTTCAAAATGTTTCCTTGCTTCTAAAGTCTGCGCAGTTACCTCCCTTATGGAAAGGCACATTGTGACACTTCCATCAACAACATCACAGGTTGAAGTGTTCAAGACATCCTGACAATTTTATTGAATGAATATAGAGTAAACAATATCATGATTTTCATTACTGGATTGTCTGGTCCATACTCGATTATTTACAGACCACAGTCATATAGCTGGAGTACTGCTGAGTGCAGCATTAAACAAACAAACAAATAAATATACACCTTGGCCTAGATTTTCGAAGCTCTCTTAGCGTTAAGATAGTCGTAAGTGCCATACATTAACATTAACTTACGACTATCTTAGCACTAAGACAGCTTCGAAAATCTAGGCCCTGAATCCCAGTACACGCATTCTTCCATGTGTGGGCAGAGATTTCGGTAGAATGTATAAAATGGGTAGAATAGTTATAGATGAATCAAAGCTGTTTCATTTCCTTTCAGGTTTGGAAGTGACAAGCTGAAGAGAGAGTTCCTTGCTCCGTCTATTTCAGGTGACATGGTTGCCTGTCTTGGAGTCAGTGAGGTCGGCGCAGGCTCAGATGTATCAAGTAAGGCAACAGGGGACTTAATGCTGTTTATGTTTCAGATGTTATTGCTGGTTATTATGTAAAGTTATTTCTAAAGTTATTGTTGGTTATCTAAATGTTAGTGAGGGATATATCCACACTTTCCACAGTACATTGGATATTGATACATGTTGATTCCCAAGTTGAAACTAATTCAGTAGTTAACCAGAAATCAGATTGTAAAAGAACTTATTATGAAATCGACAAGGAACAAAGCAATGTGATATACAATCTAATCAACATTTATATTCTACAAAGCTTACAAACTAATACAAATCACTACAAAGATATTATTTTACTGTGGCAGTAAAAAATAGAATGGCAGTACAAATTCAACTACAGACAGACAGACTTTTTATTCAGTATTTTATAAAAGCCAAAGGCCCATAATACATATAAATTACAAAGGTGAAACAAGAGCACATAAAAGGTTACAGGTTTCTGCTTTGACAAATGTAGCTCTAGTTTTATGTGCACTTTTATAAAAATTACAAACTGTTTTTACTGTAAACTAGATAATATTAACTGTATTGAAGATGAAATACATGTCATCTTTGATTATGTGAAGAACTTCTTCATAAAACTGGTTGATTTTACTATTTCAACATTTGTCAATGGTAAAATAATGGAAACCTTTCACTATTCCTGGACAATACCCTCAGGAAATCATGATAAATTTGGACCGCCTTCAATTAGAAGAGACAAGAGAAAAATATGTCATACCCTGTAACTGACAAAATGGTCCGTATCAAAGGGGTCAAAGGTCACATAATATTGGTCACAGCAAACCTGAAGCTTTGGATATTCCTTAAATTTTCTTAAATTTGTAAATGATACCAAAAATTGCCCATAGGAGCTACAAGCCAAAATATCCAAAGCAATCTTTTCAGAATATTTCTTACTTTCCATCAGGTATTTTCACAAAAGCATCTCGTACTGGAGATGATCTTATCATCAATGGCTGGGCAAGATGTGGACAACTAATGGTACACAGGCTGACTGGATGTGTCTGTTAGCTAACACAGGACAGGGAAAGGCCCACCAGAACAAGTCTCTCATCTGTCTGCCTATGGACCTCCCAGGTGAGTAGATACCTGGATCAAGGGGATTCTCCACACAACAGTATGTGTCATCATTCCAAATTCACCATGCCCAAATATTCTGGGACTGATTAACTTATGGGCAGTTTATGAAATGCCTAGATATTACAGTCATTTCACAAATTCACTGATAAATCTATCCCTGTATTTGACTTGACACCTACAGTATTAAGTTCTAAAGTGCCTAAAAATGACAATTGAATAATTATTCTTTGATTATAATCCACAACAATATGTAAATGTATGTTGACTTCCTTTTTTTTCCAGTCACTGGGAGATGAAATTGAACTTCAAAATGTTTGGAATTGTTGTCATTAATGGATTAGAAACACAAAACAGTATTTCATCTTTGTTGATTAATATGAATATATGCCCTCATGCTATCAAATGCTTTTACTGGTGGGGTAGCAGAGGTGGGAACCAATCAAATTCTGGGATATCATCCATGTAGCCTTGGAAAAAACAATAACAAATGCAACAACTAGTCCAAGGAATATGTTCTAGATCAGTGGCATTGTAAGAGGAAGCTATGCATCAAAGTCAGATTCAAAATGGCGGCATTCAGCCCTCATTCCCCAAGCTTATAAGAAGAAGCTGGTTCGTAGCATTCACAAGAAGTTTTTGTTTAGGCAACTTGGTTACCTTGTTGAGAAGATCTTGTTTCTACCTAGCTAAGAGGCATGCATACTGTGTGCCTGTGTCACAAGACAAAATACATCTATATGGCTTTAACCACATTGTCTGCATCTTGTCATGCACAGATGATACCGGATGTTCTGAAGACAAACCTGTAAGGGACCGTACATAATTTATGGCTAGGGGGGTGATGATGATTTTTATGGAGAAGCATATACAACATGAATGACACCCCACCCCACCCCACCCCTAAAATTTATGTACAAAGTAAGTGGACCCCCATGCATGTCATGTACAAAATCCAGGGCTCCAGATAAGGGCCGTATCGGCGTATGTACGGATAAAAAATATGCACGATACGGTAGGAAATAATTTAGAAAACGTAGCAGATATGGTGTACGGTCTTGGAATCACTTACAGACGTATTTATCTCAAAAAAGTATTGTTTTATTGTTTATTGACCTGTTTACACAAGAGTAGCAATGTTGTGGTGCATATATGAAACGAAACACAAGATTACTGATAGTCCATTAGCTTCCATTCAGTACTCTAAATGTACACTTACGGTTTTCCAGTACTCAATATTGAACAAATAAGGAGTACGTACTCCTGATGTTGAAAAATTATCTGGAGCCCTGAAATCAAAGATCCCCCCTCCACCATTCCTATAATTTTTAAGCATACTTTTTTCATATTTTTATGTACAAAATTGCTGACACCCCTACCTCCCCAGAACAAAATGGGTGACACCCCCACCCCCACCCCCCTAAAATCATAATCACCACCACCACACACACACCCTTAACCATAAAACGGTCCCTAATCTTCCCTTGCAGGTATCCAGATAGCTAAGAAGATAGAAAAGATGGGAATGAGGTCTTCTGACACAGCACAGATATTCTTTGAAGATGTCCGTATCCCAGCCAGCTACATTATCGGAGAGGAGGGGATGGGCTTCACCTACCAGATGTTGCAGTTTCAGGAGGAGAGACTGTTTGGAGCAGTACTCGGTGGGTTTCAAGTACTGTTGGTGGTACTGTACTGGGCGAGTATTTGTTGTACTATAGCGGCTGGAATGGGTGTTGGTATGATGGTTCTGTGTGTGGTGGTATGAAAATCTAGTGGTTGATGGTATGATGGTTCAGTGTGTTGGTATGACAGTTGTGTGGGTGTTGGTATGACAGTTGTGTAGGTGTTGGTATGACAGTTGTGTGGGTGTTGGTATGACAGTTGTGTGGATGTTGGTATGACAGTTGTGTAGGTGTTGGTATGACAGTTGTGTGGGTGTTGGTATGACAGTTGTGTGGGTGTTGGTATGACAGTTGTGTGGTGTTGGTATGACAGTTGTGTGGGTGTTGGTATGACAGTTGTGTAGGTGTTGGTATGACAGTTGTGTGGGTGTTGGTATGACAGTTGTGTGGTGTTGGTATGTGTTGGTATGGTATGACAGTTGTGTAGGTGTTGGTATGGCAGTTGTGTGGGTGTTGGTATGGCAGTTGTGTAGGTGTTGGTATGACAGTTGTGTGGGTGTTGGTATGACAGTTGTGTGGGTGTTGGTATGACAGTTGTGTAGGTGTTGGTATGGCAGTTGTGTGGATGTTGGTATGACAGTTGTGTAGGTGTTGGTATGACAGTTGTGTGGGTGTTGGTATGACAGTTGTGTAGGTGTTGGTATGACAGTTGTGTAGGTGTTGGTATGACAGTTGTGTAGGTGTTGGTATGACAGTTGTGTAGGTGTTGGTATATGAGTATGTAGTGTGTGGTGTTGGTATGACAGTTGTGTAGGTGTTGGTATGACAGTTGTGTGGGTGTTGGTATGACAGTTGTGTGGGTGTTGGTATGACAGTTGTGTAGGTGTTGGTATGACAGTTGTGTGGGTGTTGGTATGACAGTTGTGTGGGTGTTGGTATGACAGTTGTGTGGGTGTTGGTATGACAGTTGTGTAGGTGTTGGTATGACAGTTGTGTGGGTGTTGGTATGACAGTTGTGTGGGTGTTGGTATGACAGTTGTGTAGGTGTTGGTATGACAGTTGTTTGCACGTTGGTATGACAGTTGTGTTGGTATGACAGACAGTGTGTGGGTGTTGGTATGACAGTTGTGTAGGTGTTGGTATGACAGTTGTGTAGGTGTTGGTATGACAGTTGTGTAGGTGTTGGTATGACAGTTGTGTAGGTGTTGGTATGACAGTTGTGTAGGTGTTGGTATGACAGTTGTGTGGGTGGTGTTGGTATGTACAGTTGTGTGGTTGTGTTGGTATGACATGACAGTTGTGTAGGTGTTGGTATGGCAGTTGTGTAGGTGTTGGTATGTGCAGTTGTGTAGGTGTTGGTATGACAGTTGTGTAGGTGTTGGTATGACAGTTGTGTAGACAGTGTGTAGGTATGGACAGTTGTGTGGGTGTTGGTATGACAGTTGTGTGGGTGTTGGTATGGCAGTTGTGTGGATGTTGGTATGACAGTTGTGTAGGTGTTGGTATGTATGACAGTTGTGTAGGTGTTGGTATGACAGTTGTGTAGGTGTTGGTATGACAGTTGTGTAGGTGTTGGTATGACAGTTGTGTAGGTGTTGGTATGGCAGTTGTGTAGGTGTTGGTATGGCAGTTGTGTAGGTGTTGGTATGAGCAGTTGTGTGGATGTTGGTATGACAGTTGTGTGGGTGTTGGTATGACAGTTGTGTAGGTGTTGGTATGGCAGTTGTGTAGAGTGTTGGTATGACAGTTGTGTAGGTGTTGGTATGGTATGTGTAGGTGTTGTATGTAGTTGTGTAGGTGTTGGTATGACAGTTGTGTAGGTGTTGGTATGACAGTTGTGTAGGTGTTGGTATGACAGTTGTGTGGGTGTTGGTATGACAGTTGTGTAGGTGTTGGTATGTCAGTTGTGTGGGTGTTGGTATTACAGTTGTGTAGGTGTTGGTATGGCAGTTGTGTAGGTGTTGGTATATAGCAGTTGTGTGGGTGTTGGTATGACAGTTGTGTAGGTGTTGGTATGACAGTTGTGTGGATGTTGGTATGACAGTTGTGTAGGTGTTGGTATGTCAGTTGTGTAGGTGTTGGTATGACAGTTGTGTAGGTGTTGGTATGACAGTTGTGTAGGTGTTGGTATGTCAGCTGTGTGGATGTTGGTATGACAGTTGTGTAGGTGTTGGTATGACAGTTGTGTAGGTGTTGGTATGTCAGTTTTGTGGGTGTTGGTATGTCAGTTGTGTAGGTGTTGGAATTACAGTTGTGTAGGTGTTGGTATGACAGTTGTGTAGGTGTTGGTATGACGGTTGTGTAGATGTTGGTATGACAGTTGTGTAGGTGTTGGTATGACAGTTGTGTAGGTGTTGGTATGACGGTTGTGTGGATGTTGGTATGACAGTTGTGTTGGTGTTGGTATGGCAGTTGTGTAGGTGTTGGTATGACAGTTGTGTAGGGTGTTGGTATGACAGTTGTGTAGGTAGGTATTCAGTGTGTGGGTGTTGTATGACAGTTGTGTAGGTGTTAGTATAGCAGTTGTGTAGGTGTTAGTATGTCAGTTGTGTGGATGTTGGTATGACAGTTGTGTAGGTGTTGGTATGTCAGTTGTGTGGGTGTTGGCATGTTAGTATGTGTGGATGTTGGTATGACAGTTGTGTAGGTGTTGGTATGACAGTTGTGTAGGTGTTGGTATGACAGACAGTTGTGTGGGTGTTGGTATGGTATGACAGTTGTGTAGGTGTTGGTATGACAGTTGTGTGGATGTTGGTATGACAGTTGTGTAGGTGTTGGTATGACAGTTGTGTGGGTGTTGGTATGACAGTTGTGGGTGTTGGGTGACAGTTGGTATGGTACAGTTATTGTATGGGCAGTTGTTGGGCGTTGTATATGACAGTTGTATGAATGTTGGTATGACAGTTGTGTAGGTGTTGGTATGACAGTTGTGGAGGTGTTAGTATGACAGTTGTGTAGGTGTTGGTATGACAGTTGTGTAGCTGTTGGTATGACAGTTGTGTGGGTGTTGGTATGACAGTTGTGTAGGTGTTGGTATGTCAGTTGTGTAGGTGTTGGTATGACAGTTGTGTAGGTGTTGGTATGACAGTTGTGTAGGTGTTGGTATGACAGTTGTGTGGATGTTGGTATGATGGTTGTGTAGGTGTTGGTATGACAGTTGTGTAGGTGTTGGTATGACAGTTGTGTAGGTGTTGGTATGACAGTTGTGTAGGTGTTGGTATGACAGTTGTGTAGGTGTTGGTATGACAGTTGTGTGGATGTTGGTATGATGGTTGTGTCGGTGTTAGTATGACGGTTGTGTAGGTGTTGGTATGATGGTTGTGTGGATGTTGGTATGACAGTTGTGTAGGTGTTGGTATGTCAGTTGTGTGGATGTTGGTATGACAGTTGTGTAGGTGTTGGTATGGCAGTAGTGTGGGTGTTGGTATGGCAGTTGTGTAGGTGTTGGTATGTCAGTTGTGTGGATGTTGGTATGACAGTTGTGTAGGTGTTGGTATGGCAGTTGTGTGGGTGTTGGTATGACAGTTGTGTAGGTGTTGGTATGACAGTTGTGTGGGTGTTGGTATGTCAGTTGTGTAGGTGTTGGTATGTCAGTTGTGTAGGTGTTGGTATGACAGTTGTGTGGGTGTTGGTATGACAGTTGTGTGGGTGTTGGTATTACAGTTGTGTAGGTGTTGGTATGACAGTTGTGTGGGTGTTGGTATGACAGTTGTGTGGATGTTGGTATGACAGTTGTGTGGAGCGTTGGTATGTCAGTTATTGTGTAGGTGTTGGTATGATGGTTGTGTGGGTGTTGGTATGACATGATAGTGGTGTGTGTGGAATTGGTGTGTTGGTATTACAGTTGTGTAGGTGTTGGTATGACAGTTGTGTAGGTGTTGGTATGACAGTATTGTGGATGTTGGTATGACAGTTGTGTGGGTGTTGGTATGACAGTTGTGTAGGTGTTGGTATGACAGTTGTGTAGGTGTTGGTATGTCAGTTGTGTGGATGTTGGTATGACAGTTGTGTGGATGTTGGTATGACAGTAGTGTGGGTGTTGGTATGACAGTTGTGTAGGTGTTGGTATGACAGTTGTGTGGGTGTTGGTATGACAGTTGTGTAGGTGTTGGTATGACAGTTGTGTAGGTGTTGGTATGACAGTTGTGTAGGTGTTGGTATGTCAGTTGTGTGGATGTTGGTATGACAGTTGTGTGGATGTTGGTATGGCATTAGTGTGGGTGTTGGTATGACAGTTGTGTAGGTGTTGGTATGGCAGTTGTGTGGTTGTTGGTATGACAGTTGTGTAGGTGTTGGTATGACAGTTGTGTAGTTGTTGGTATGACAGTTGTGTAGGTGTTGGTATGACAGTTGTGTAGGTGTTTGTATGGCAGTTGTGTAGGTGTTGGTATGAGAGTTGTGTGGGTGTTGGTATGACAGTTGTGTGGATGTTGGTATGGCAGTTGTGTGGGTGTTTGTATGGCAGTTGTGTGAATGTTGGTATGGCAGTTGTGTGGATGTTGGTATGGCAGTTGTGTGGATGTTGGTATGGCAGTTGTGTAGGTGTTGGTATGGCAGTTGTGTGGATGTTGGTATGACAGTTGTGTAGGTGTTGGTATGAGAGTTGTGTGGGTGTTGGTATGACAGTTGTGTGGGTGTTGGTATGACAGTTGTGGGGGTGTTGATAGAGGCAGTTGATGTTGAACATAATAAGCCTTGTCAAGGTTGTATTCTGACCTCCAGACATTACTGTCCATGACCTTTAGGTAACAAATAAAGTATGACCAGAAAGTATTGAGAATTTTAGGAATATGTTTAATTGGATTTCTAGTATAAACAACCTTGACCAGCTATCAAGTGCTTGGTTTCATTCAAGAGAGACAACTCCGTTAATCCTTTTTCATTAGTTTGTGAAGAGTTATCCCCCTTTGTTTACTTGCTAGCAGCCGACATTTTCAGTGATCCTCTGTAAGGATGATTTAGAGAAGAGGAAGTTGATTTTAGAGTATTATAACAAGGACATCAGGGTGCCGTTGTACAAAGCAATCTTAGCGCTAAGGTGACCGTAACTCCCATACCTTAACATGGACGTAAGGTAGCCTTAGTGCTAAGGTTGTTTTGTACAACGGCACCCAGATCAGCTAATGTGATTTCAAGTAGAACAGGCATCCCATTGTCCACTGTTTATCGTGTTTTGAAAAATATTGCAAATGGATATGGCATTGAGCACCAGGAAGGCGCAGGTAGGCCCAGAAAATTGACTGTCGGTGACAGGAGGCGGCTTGGTATTCTTGTTTCTATAAACAAAAGAAGGAGTTTAGAAAACTTAAGGCTGGATATGATTGATAGAGAAACTGTGGCTGTCTGTAAGGAGACAATTAGAACTGAGCTGCATGCAATGGGTTGGAGGAATTCCATCACCGATCATGAAACCTGAACAAAGGGGTGAACGTTGAACTGGTGCTTACAGCATAGAAATTTTAACTGGGACAATGTGATTTTCTCAGATGAAAGTTCTGTGTGTCTGTTTCCTAATACACTGAAATTCTGGACCAAACAAACTGAAAAACCTTTGTATCAGCGCCCAAAGTACAGTCCGAAATTTAACGTGTGGGGTGGCATATCTGTGTTAGGGACAACGGCCCTCTGTGTATTTGAAGGGAATATGAACAGTGAGCGGCACACAGATATTCTCGAGGGACATTTACTTCCATCTGCTCACGTGTTCTATGGAAATGTTTTGATTTTCCATCAGGACAACGACCCAAAACATCGTTCAAAGCATTCACAGGCCTTGTTTCAGACCCAAAATATGACATTATTAGACTGGCCAAGCTATAGCCCTGACCTTAATCCAATAGAAAATGTTTGGGGACTTATGAAGGAAAGTGTCAATAAGAAAAATATGACAAATATTGCTGAAATGAAAGAAGAGGTGGTCCGATATTGGGACAGCATGGACCACAACTTTCTAACTTCTTTGATCAGTAGTATGCCCCGCCGCATTGAAGCCTGCATTGCTGCCCATGGTGAATTGACAAAATACTAACTGTTCACCTGTCTTTGAATCTGGAGTTATGTTCTGCTAATATTCACATTTAATACGTGAGTAATGAGTGAAAAAAAAAAATTACAATCTTAAATTCTCAATAATTTCTGGTTGTACTGTACATCATGGAGCTGGTGTTGTTTCAGTGTTGGTTCCCCTACAGAAGATGGTACAGGAGACTGCAGCATACACAGCTCAACGGAAAGCCTTTGGGAAACCAATTCTAAGCAACCAGGTTGTCCACTTCCGTCTTGCTGAGCTGGAGACTGAGATTGAGAGTCTGAGATCACTGGTGTACAGGACTGTTGGTAAGAAATGCTCTCCTGAAACCCTTTAAACATTGTTAAAGGTGTCAGAAAGGAAAAGGGTTTAGATGCTCCAGATAGGGCATGACACAAAAAACAGACACTTGTAACACAGCTTTCCTGTGAAGGGGTCTGTCTACCATGACTATAGTCACGCATACCCTGAGGGGTTGCTGGATCAGAAAACTGTGAGATTATTCTGCTTTCTGAAGCAAATGGACAGATATTATCTGTGACCACTCGCTGAAAGAAGGAGTTTATATAGTCCATTGCGATGGCCAGAGACTTTAGGTGAAGTATCAATGACCAGATGCCTTAGCCAGAGGCTATGCGTTAAGTGTCACTGCCCCAGTGCCGGAGGGTAATGGCTGTGGCTCGTATCAGGGTTTATTATGGGAGATCAAGGGTAATGGAGGAGAGCGTATTTAAATTCAAATGGTTATTGTATCAAGGGTCACAACAGGCTCATATACATGGAGAGCACGCTATATAGTGTAGTATCATTTTACAAATATAGTCAACATTGTTATTGAACCATCAAGTAGGTGAACAAGGTTTATGCCAACTTACTAGCTGGGTCTGAGTATTATGGCAGTGTGTTTAAGTTAAACAGGTGGTTCAGCCCATGCTGAATACATGACAAGTAACAGTTACATGTGAATATAAAATCCACGTGAAACTGAACTGCATTCATGATTGTTTTGTATTATCTGCACAACTAATTAAAAATCGTAGACCTACATGTTTCATTGAATTACTGCTCTTTTTATATATAATAAATAATATAACATGGCAGATTCAAACCTTGATAATTTGTGTTGCTGTAAGAAGAACAAACTGTTGGACTAAAGGACAAATGTATTTGCTATGTATATTATATTATTATCTTATTGACCTTCTTGGGGCGGTGGGGAAGCCTTGTGGTTATAGCATTCTGGGTTTGATTCCCCACATGGGTACAATGTGAGAAGCCCATTTCTGGTGTCCCCACAGTGATATTGCTAGAATAGTGCTAAAAGCAGCGTTAAACCTCACTTACTCACTCACTTACTCACTCACTCACTCTTAAATCATGGCAGCCAGTATTATCACAATTATCATACATGCTGGTACTTTGATCTCCTACACATTGAAGTGCCTGTTATTTCAGCTCTGTACATGGAAGGCAATGATGTGACGAAGCTGGCCTCCATGTGTAAGCTGAAGGCGGGGCGACTCTCCAGGGAGGTGTGTGACTCCTGTCTGCAGTACTGGGGTGGGATGGGCTATACTGAGGAAGTGTTCAGTCAGCCGCATGTACAGGTGAGTCAACACGAACAACCCTTACAACAACAGAGTTTAGGACACAGTTAAGTTAACGTTACCCCAATGGATATCATCTTGTTTAAATTGAATCTTCTACTCTCTGCATTACCCCACGGTATCTTAAAATACCTTCATAGATGTGTGTTAGGTGGACCCTGTGGTAACCTTGGCTGCCCAGTGGAAAAGGAGGCAAGTGTTCTTGTACCAATTGCATCAGTTCTGAAATTTGTACTTTTGTAACAAATGTATATGAAATATCCACTTATAATTGTTTAGTTGGATTCCTAAATAGAGAAATCAAGTGGTGGTTTGAACTGTACTGAGAATTTAGAATCCAAAATACTGATTAGAAATACTAGTATCATACATCTCAACCTATGGAGGTGACCTGAGATCTTCATGCAGGAGGTGTCGAATTGCAGTAACAGAATCACGATGGATAAATACTTTATTTCCTTAAAGGGCACATGCAACCAACTAATCAAACATAATTAAAACACAATTATCACCTATTCATGACAAATAATATACATTGCTGATTATGAAAAAACATATAAACACAATTATAAGCGTACAATCGCAAATTAAAAGTGCAATATTTTGTACTTGGGTTTACTTCCCTTGAAACGAAGTACCTGGGATACCGAACCCAGTCAGAGCGGGTGGGTGTGCACTCAAGTGTAACGAAGCCTTTCATTGGCTGGTTCATTTGCCGATGCTCTCACGGCTCATTGTGTATGCTAATCTTCAATACAGACAAGTTTTATTACCATTTTGCAGTTCTATGGATATACAACTTCTTTATATTAAATATTAATATTAAAGAAGTTGTATATCCATAGAACTCTCCTCGTTAATATTAAAGCAGTCCTGTCCCGGCATTTTGTCATTTCTGTTATTAATTACTTTGCTATTTCCAGGGACTTCCGACTTCTGTCCATTGGAGGCGGGGCTGATGAAGTGATGCTGTCAATCATCTGTAAATACATGAACATCTTGCCTCGATCCTCATAAATCAAATGTACTGACGTAGGTTGTACATATACTGAGGGGGAAAAATTAAGGGACACATGAAAGCCAAAGCATTCATTTATACACTTCAAGGCTTGTTTGCAAGCTTTGTTGAAAGCTGGATGTAAATGAGTGTTCTTGACTTCTGTTGAGTAGTATATGTTACAACTGTTCATCAGTGAATGCCATGTTTTAAGTCTTGTATATCAAGGGACACAAGAAGTGGAAACTCCTCCACCACAGAACCAGTCTATGCTGTTTCGGACACATGCAGAGATTTCCACAGTGTGCCAGTGTTAATTATAAGTGCTTAGTTCCACAGAGCAGTGAAATATATGACAGACCTCACCGGCCCGAGACGTAGCTTTATGCCTGCAAAAGGGCCACATCTCTCAGTTGTCTGCAAAGTTTTCCTGTACAAGTCATTTATACTTCATATACTGAAGGAAAAAAATAAGGCAACATCACATCAACATAGTGTTCCTACTTTTGTATAAATGGAGTACTGAAAGAATTCTTCGATGTTGCTATAGTATTTAGAAAGAATCAGGTTTCTTTAACTTCAGTTGAGTATGTTGAAAGTATATTCTTGGAGTTTAGTGAAACGTCACTCGTCAGAAGCCAATTATCCTGGATGAATCGTAAATTTGGACATTTGTTGCCTCGCACATTTTCACCGCTAACAGTTCCTGTCAGATTATTTAGGTATCAGTTAATAAACTAGTTTGTTTGCATTATATATGTGGGTGTATATTTAACGTCACATCGGCAATGTTTCAGCCATTTCGTGACAAGCTTGTATGTAATGAGTGTCCAGATGTTTATGTACTGTTACAAAAGTCCAAGACAGTCTTGCCCACTTTACAGCATTATTCTTCTGTGTTTTCTTATGTAAATCAGACTATTTGTTTATATATAAAAGAGGTTGAATTTGTTGTATTCTGAAATTAGTCATGAAAGGGTTAATACAGGAATTAAGTTAAAAACAAATTTAATCATTGACACATTTTAAGGTGAAATGAGATCGTGGACATCATGATGATGGACATAAGACAGATGTTGTCACATGTTGCTCCATAAACCCCAGATTATTTCCCATACTGATGTGTTTTGTACAGAAAGTGAGATAATTATAGTGTTTGAGATTTATGAGATATGTGCCTGATTTATACAGACATTGTTTTGAAAACTTCATGGCCAGATATGACAACATTTTGCTTCTGGAAGTGAAATATTTATGAGACTCAGGGATTTGCCACTGTGAAAATAAAGATGATGCCATGTCAATAAAGAATTTTGTACGAATATTGTTCATATATTTCTTTTGTCACTCTTACCCCTCTAGAGGGGACAGTGCAAGTGTTCAGCACTATCACAACATCTGGTACACTACTCAGTATATCCAGCTGCTCAGTAGGGACATCATCAGTAATCACTCAGTAGCAGGAACATCAGTAACCAGTCAGTAGCAGGAACATCAGTAACCAGTCAGTAGCAGGAACATCAGTAACCAGTCAGTAGCAGGAACATCAGTAACCAGTCAGTAGCAGGAACATCAGTAACCAGTCAGTAGCAGGAACATCAGTAACCAGTCAGTAGCAGGAACATCAGTAACCAGTCAGTAGCAGGAACATCAGTAACCAGTCAGTAGCAGGAACATCTGTAACCAGTCAGTAGCAGGAACAGCAGTAACCAGTCAGTAGCAGGAACATCAGTAACTAGTCAGTAGCAGGAACAGCAGTAACCAGTCAGTAGCAGTAACATCAGTAACTACTCAGTAGCACGGACATCAGTAACAAGTCAGTAGCTGGAACACCAGTAACTACTCAGTAGCAGGAACACGAGTAACTAGTCAGTAGCAGGAACACGAGTAACTACTCAGTAGCAGGAACACTAGTCACTAGCAGGAACATCAGCAACTAGTCAGTAGCAGAAACATCAGTACCTAGTTAGTAGCAGCAACATCAGTAACTGGTCAGTAGCAGAAACATCAGTAACTAGTCAGTAGCAGAAACATCAGTAACTAGTCAGTAGCAGGAACACCAGTAACTAGTCAGTAGCAGGAACACCAGTAACTCGTCAGTAGCAAGAACATCAGTAACTAGTCAGTAGCAGGGAACATCAGTAACTAGTCAGTAGCAGGAACATTAGTACCTAGTCAGTAGCAGGAACATCAGTAACTAGTCAGTAGCAGGAACATCAGTAACCACTCAGTAGCAGGAACATCAGTAACTACTCAGTAGCAGGAACACCAGTAACTAGTGAGAAGCAGGAATATCAGTAACCAGTCAGTAGCAGGAACATCAGTAACTAGTCAGTAGCAGGAACACGAGTAACTAGTCAGTAGCAGGAACACCAGTAACTAGTCAGTAGCAGGAACATCAGTAACTAGTCAGTAGCAGGAACACCAGTAACCACTCAGTAGCAGGAACATCAGTAACCAGTCAGTAGCAGGAACATCAGTAACTAGTCAGTAGCAGCAACATCAGTAACCACTCAGTAGCAGGAACATCAGTAACTACTCAGTAGCAGGAACACCAGTAACTAGTGAGAAGCAGGAATATCAGTAACCAGTCAGTAGCAGGAACATCAGTAACTAGTCAGTAGCAGGAACACGAGTAACTAGTCAGTAGCAAGAACACGAGTAACTAGTCAGTAGCAGGAACACCAGTAACCACTCAGTAGCAGGAACACTAGTCAGTAGCAGGAACATCAGTAACTAGTCAGTAGCAGCAACATCAGTACCTAGTTAGTAGCAGCAACATCAGTAACTAGTCAGTAGCAGAAACATCAGTAACTAGTCAGTAGCAGGAACATCAGTAACTAGTCAGTAGCAGGAACACCAGTAACTAGTCAGTAGCAGGAACATCAGTAACTAGTCAGTAGCAGGAACATCAGTAACTAGTCAGTAGCAGGAACATCAGTAACTAGTCAGTAGCAGGAACATCAGTAACTAGTCAGTAGTCAGTAGCAGGAACATCAGTAACAGGTCAGTAGCAGGAACATCAGTAACTAGTCAGTAGCAGGAACATCAGTAACTAGTCAGTAGCAGGAACATCAGTAACTACTCAGTAGCAGGAACACCAGTAACTAGTGAGAAGCAGGAATATCAGTAACCAGTCAGTAGCAGGAACATCAGTAACTAGCAGTCAGTCAGCAGGAACACGAGTAACTAGTCAGTAGCAAGAACACGAGTAACTAGTCAGTAGCAGGAACATCAGTAACTAGTCAGTAGCAGGAACACCAGTAACCACTCAGTAGCAGGAACACTAGTCAGTAGCAGCAACATCAGTAACTAGTCAGTAGCAGAAACATCAGTAAACTAGTCAGTAGCAGCAACATCAGCACCTCAGTTAGTAGCAGCAACATCAGTAACTAGTCAGTAGCAGGAACACGAGTAACTAGTCAGTAGCAGGAACATCAGTAACCTCAGTCAGTAGCAGCAACATCAGTAACTAGTCAGTAGCAGAAACATCAGTAACTAGTCAGTAGCAGGAACATCAGTAACTAGTCAGTAGCAGGAACACCAGTAACTAGTGAGAAGCAGGAACATCAGTAACCAGTCAGTAGCAGGAACATCAGTAACTAGTCAGTAGCAGGAACACGAGTAACTAGTCAGTAGCAAGAACACGAGTAACTAGTCAGTAGCAGGAACATCAGTAACTAGTCAGTAGCAGCAACATCAGTACCTAGTTAGTAGCAGCAACATCAGTAACTAGTCAGTAGCAGAAACATCAGTAACTAGTCAGTAGCAGGAACATCAGTAACTAGTCAGTAGCAGGAACATCAGTAACTAGTCAGTAGCAGGAACATCGAGTAACTAGTCAGTAGCAGCAACATCAGTAACTAGTCAGTAGCAGCAACATCAGTAACCAGTCAGTAGCAGGAACATCGGTAACTAGTCAGTAGCAGGAACATCAGTAACTAGTCAGTAGCAGCAACATCAGTACCAGTTAGTAGCAGGAACATCAGTAACTAGTCAGTAGCAGAAACATCAGTAACTAGTCAGTAGCAGGAACATCAGTAACTAGTTAGTAGCAGCAACATCAGTAACTAGTCAGTAGCAGGAACATCAGTAACTAGTCAGTAGCAGGAACATCAGTACCTAGTCAGTAGCAGCAACATCAGTAACTAGTCAGTAGCAGGAACATCAGTAACTAGTCAGTAGCAGGAACATCAGTAACTAGTCAGTAGCAGGAACATCAGTAACTAGTGAGAAGCAGGAATATCAGTAACCAGTCAGTAGCAGGAACATCAGTAACTAGTCAGTAGCAGGAACACGAGTAACTAGTCAGTAGCAAGAACACGAGTAACTAGTCAGTAGCAGGAACATCAGTAACTAGTCAGTAGCAGGAACACCAGTAACCACTCAGTAGCAGGAACAATAGTCAGTAGCAGGAACATCAGTAACTAGTCAGTAGCAGCAACATCAGTAACTAGTTAGTAGCAGCAACATCAGTAACTAGTCAGTAGCAGAAACATCAGTAACTAGTCAGTAGCAGGCAACATCAGTAACTAGTCAGTAGCAGGAACATCAGTAACTAGTCAGTAGCAGGAACATCAGTAACTAGTCAGTAGCAGGAACATCAGTAACTAGTCAGTAGCAGCAACATCAGTAACTAGTCAGTAGCAGAAACATCAGTAACTAGTCAGTAGCAGGAACATCAGTAACTAGTCAGTAGCAGGAACATCAGTAACTAGTCAGTAGCAGGAACATCAGTAACTAGTCAGTAGCAGGGAACATCAGTAACTAGTCAGTAGCAGGGAACATCAGTAACTAGTCAATAGCAGGAACATCAGTAACTAGTGAGAAGCAGAAAACATCAGTAACCACTCAGTAGCAGGAACATCAGTAACCAGTCAGTAGCAGGAACATCAGTAACCAGTCAGTAGCAGGAACATCAGTAACCACTCAGTAGCAGGAACATCAGTAACCAGTCCGTAGCAGGAACATCAGTAACCAGTCCGTAGCAGGAACATCAGTAACCAGTCAGTAGCAGGAACATCAGTAACCAGTCAGTAGCAGGAACATCAGTAACCAGTCAGTAGCAGGAACATCAGTAACCAGTCAGTAGCAGGAACATCAGTAACCAGTCAGTAGCAGGAACATCAGTAACCAGTCAGTAGCAGGAACATCAGTAACCAGTCAGTAGCAGGAACATCAGTAACTAGTCAGTAGCAGGAACATCAGTAACTAGTCAGTAGCAGGAACATCAGTAACCAGTCAGTAGCAGGAACATCAGTAACCAGTCAGTAGCAGGAACATCAGTAACCAGTCAGTAGCAGAACATCAGTAACCAGTCAGTAGCAGCAACATCAGTAACTAGTCAGTAGCAGAAACATCAGTAACTAGTCAGTAGCAGGAACATCAGTAACCAGTCAGTAGCAGGAACATCAGTAACCAGTCAGTAGCAGGAACATCAGTAACTAGTCAGTAGCAGCAACATCAGTAACTAGTCAGTAGCAGGAACATCAGTAACTAGTCAGTAGCAGGAACATCAGTAACCAGTCAGTAGCAGGAACATCAGTAACTAGTCAGTAGCAGGAACATCAGTAACTAGTCAGTAGCAGGAACATCAGTAACTACTGAGTAGCAGGAATATCAGTAACCAGTCAGTAGCAGGAACATCAGTAACTAGTCAGTAGCAGGAACATCAGTAACTAGTCAGTAGCAAGGAACACGAGTAACCAGTTAGTAGCAGGAACATCGGTAACTAGTCAGTAGCAGGAACATCAGTAACTAGTCAGTAGCAGGAACATCAGTAACTAGTCAGTAGCAGGAACATCAGTAACTAGTCAGTAGCAGGAACATCAGTAACTAGTCAGTAGCAGCAACATCAGTACCTAGTTAGTAGCAGCAACATCAGTAACTAGTCAGTAGCAGAAACATCAGTAACTAGTCAGTAGCAGGAACATCAGTAACTAGTCAGTAGCAGGAACATCAGTAACTAGTCAGTAGCAGGAACACCAGTAACTAGTCAGTAGCAGGAACATCAGTAACTAGTCAGTAGCAGGGAACATCAGTAACTAGTCAGTAGCAGGAACATCAGTAACTAGTCAATAGCAGGAACATCAGTAACTAGTGAGAAGCAGAAAACATCAGTAACCACTCTCTAGCAGGAACATCAGTAACTAGTCAGTAGCAGCAACATCAGTAACCAGTCAGTAGCAGGAACATCAGTAACCACTCAGTAGCAGGAACATCAGTAACCAGTCCGTAGCAGGAACATCAGTAACCAGTCAGTAGCAGGAACATCAGTAACCAGTCAGTAGCAGGAACATCAGTAACTAGTCAGTAGCTGGAA